TAACTCTAAAGTTGGGGTTGCCTGGGAGGTAGCATGGGACAGAAGTCAGAATGTTGCGAATTGGGAAGAGACTCATCATAAAAGGTGTTTTTGGAATGTCGGATACTGTTAACAATTGGTTGCCCAATGGTCCCCATTACAGAACGCACAATAATCGCTTACTTGGTGATGTCATTGAGCTGGTGGAGGGGAAACTTCGTTTGGATTCCCATCGTGGTTGCCTCTGTTTTGAGCGTTCTGTTGGGGTTGCTGTCGTTCGCGATTTAGCATCGCGTCACTTAGAAGTTGGGTGCTGAGTTCGAATAGCCATGCGTTGTTCCATATTCCGTAGAATATCCTGAATTGTTAGTTGGTGAATTGTAATGGCAACTACAGAATTTTCTTCTTATTTAGATACCTTATCTATTTGCTTTGTATTCCTTTTCGCCTGGAATACTGAGCCTGATGTTTCCCCGTGTATGCGTTTCTTGAACAGGCAAAAAATCTCTTAATGTCTAGGGAGATTTTGAATGGTTGTTAATGACTAATAGTACATCAAATGAATTCAGTCATCAGGTTGTTAGCCACAGTCCTTGTGAGGGTGGCACGTTTTGCTGAGGATCTTGATGGCTGGGCGTTGCCTTGTTAATTCGTCGTGATCGAAGGGTATTTTGCCTTCCATCATCAACGTGAGACTGGTCTCCATTCTCGACGTCGTCCTAGTTATTACCTGCTAAATTGTCTTAATTCTGGTTGTCAGACGTATCTAAAAGGGAGAGACTAATTCTGCGTCGAGGTGTAGTCAAAAACGACAGAGACGCGATGATGTGTTGTAGATGATAGCCTTGCTGTAGAAAGAGGTACGAAATATGGAGCACATGACATGGAAGAGCTTAACAGATCATTTAGATTTCAAAAATGTGTCAGAAGAGGACTTGGGACCTTTTGTATTGATGAAGGTGTTACAAAATTGTGTTTTTTTGGAGTTATAGTTCGTTAGGGGAGGGTGAGGACGTATTACGGTAGAGAGGCCTGTTCGGTTTCTCGTAAGTCGGGTGGCGAGTAGGTGTGATGCACTGCGCGTGTGAGAACAGATTAAGTTTGAGGCCAGGTGTGCTCTATTTGCTAGGATTGATTGAAAAATGTGTGCTGTATTTGCTAGGATTGATTGAAAAAGGATTGATTGGTGAATGTAGTGGGATGTCGCAATTTCTAAAGTGATGGTGCTGGATCGGTCTTGTTGTCGTGGATAGAGATTTCAACGAAGACGGCAGTGAGATGACGGGTTGAAGGAGCAATGGGATTGATGCGTATGTTAACGCTTCCAACTGTGTCAGTCTCCCATCCAAAGTTTGTTGTGTTTGCTGGAATTGCGTGCGATGTTGAAGTACTCGCAATTAGCCGTGCAGTATACACTTTCTTTTGTATGATTTAACTTCCGATTTTAATAGCTTGTATATGGTGAAGTTATCCGAGTTCATCGTTGATGCGGTTGAGATTTTCTGTCACCGACATCACTGGAGGTTGAGGTGGCACCGGATGATTGTCGTTCATATCTGAAGTGAGATCATTAGTTTTATTTCGTGTAGATAAGTCTGCTAATAATGAAGGAGAGTGTATGAGGAGAGATCAAAGCTAATTGAAGTCGAGAGACTGTGTCAAAGGATCGTGGATTGAACGATGTTTATGAAGTTGTCTTATATACTCATTACATTGTGTGGCTTAGTTTTGGTAGTTTTTAAGAGGCACGCGTGTTCTGCCGTCTTCGATTATAGCAATTGCCTTAATATGTCTGTAGATATATGTCATAAAAGTAGTAATAATCTTGTGTTCTGTCGTGTAATAATATATAACACGTGCAGTCGGTCATATCTTTATCAAATTCGACGCGATTAATAAGGTCGTCGGCTAAGGGGGTTAAAGGGCCCCACCAGTTCCCGGGGCAGGCTGCAGCAGTTCTCTGCTACTTAGAGCATTATGGTGCGACAATCCCCCTAGAGGGTGTGTGGACCCTTACAATATCCACATTCTGCCGTGGCCAAGTGTCCCGTCCGCCGATGCATACACCGTCCCAGGGACATTGGTCACGACAAACACCATGCTAAACCACACTAATCCCTCAAGTAGTGCCGCTGCTGGCAACCCTGCTCGTTCAAATCACAACTAAGCTAAAGGGCAGATCGCTTTGAGGAGGGGGGCGGAGTGCTTTCAAAGTCTTGCTCAGCAACCAACTAACCTTCCGTCGTGAAAGCGCTACACCTCGTTTCTCTGGCAGCCAAGTAACTGACCTGAGTCGTGTGGTGCCCTTGTGCTCCCACTTTACCGTGATCGCTGCCTTTAACCTCCCCTCCTTCTCTGACCTCGATACGCGTTTTCCCCGCTCCCTACGGAATTGAATTGTGATGACTTACAAGAAAAACGTTCCATTCGGGACACACTCCACCCTTTGCGGACGGACCTCTTCATGTGTGCTGGAAACACCTTTACACTGCTTCACTACAGCATTTTTTTTCTGCTCCAGGCTTCCTCCTAACCGAGTTGTGAATCATTGATTTGTGAATTTTTCATTGAGCACCTCTTTTTTTTTCGAGTACGCCCAGCCCAACAAAGGTGGGTCTCCCGAATTCGACCTGGCTTATTAAGCCACACCTTCACCCCTCTTGCCCAGTCCCGAGGCTGTTTTGCAATTGAAGTTTTGGTTGTCACTACCTCTTTTCGATGCATTCTACTCCAACCATGGACGGAGTTTCGCCTGGTCGATGAATGTTTTGTACTTCTCGAGACATGGCTCACCCATCCCACGCTTGACGCGATCTCTCCAGACGGATTTCCAGGAGCCAGGGAATTTCGTGACAGACGCGCAGAACGACAGACGACGGGCAAACGACAAACGAAGCGCTTCATAGTAAAAACAAGCGCCTTTTTACCTTTTAAGTTTCGAGATCGTTTTTTAACACCTTGGCGACAACGCGGCAACTAGGTTTGCCGCGTTTTGCACGCCGCAATGGACATTGTGGGAAATATAGTTGCCACACCCTTTACGTTCAGTTTTTTCTTGAACGTGCCATTTCTTCCCAGGGTTTTTGTGTTTATTTTCTAGGCCATACCACAGCATAAGCAAGAACCACGCGGCTTATAGAATAGCCAAAGATTCTTTAGTTTGGCAGAGGTTTTTCGGACAGGACCAAAATATCCGTTCAGTTCATTCCTCATTTTCTCTTCATTAACACGAACATGTAGATAAAAAAGGATCTTAGAAGTGAGCACAAAGCTAGTCGTGTGCCAAGATATGTGTTTTTACCGAAACAACCACGTCCAAAATAATTTTGAAATCACTAAAGCAAAAGTAAGTGAAACTTGCCTTTTCAATGCTGTAACACATCATTCGACCGCACTTTCACATGTGTACCTTCCAGTAAGTTTGACACACCGAATATCAGTGAAAACATTTTGTCGCATCGAAGTATTGCGTATTAAAGCTCAAAATCCACAGATTTGTTGTGAGGCGGCGGCGCTCGCAGAACCGCTCTGGTCCCAAGCGGCCAAAAATGCCAAAACGCGCGATGTCGTCAATGTGTTAATAGAAATTGAAGTCTTGGTCGTCAGTACAGCACATTTCGATGCACGCCACGTCCCACTGTGGGCGGAGCTCCACTTAGCTTATGTGTGTTTTGCACTTCGCGACAACTCGCCTACCTATCCCACACTTGACCCGGTCCTTCCAGGCGGATCCTAAGGAGCTGGGAAATTTCGTGAAAGACGTAAAGAACGACAGACGACAGACGAAGCACTTTATACAAACCAGGATTAGGAGGATCTTTTCTGAATGTTCTGATAGAATGACTTCAAAGCAAGGGATTGAAGACTCATTTATTAAATACTCTAAACAAAGATTACATTATAGTAAGCACTGGAACGCCTATCACACTCCAAGAAAAGCTTCATTGTAGTAATGGGCTTGAGATCATAACGTATAAGAAAATCAGAAAAAAAGCAGACAAAAATGTGGCAAACAGTACCAGTGCACTACTGGAATGACAATCACAAAACAAAAAGCAAGTTTACATTCATAATCATCAATATCTGGACAGACTAGAACTTCATCGCACTGGCACTATGTTGTGATCGCTTGCGGTGATAAGATCTAGCGATCAATGGAAAAAATACTGTCACATGCCACACAACAGTAAAACTAGGGTAAACAAACTCATTCTCTCAAATGAAGTTGCACAAGGGATGCACATCTCTTCTCACTACGGCACATATGACGGACATGCATTTTGTACAACAAAACTAAACTACTTAGTAGTCATGAAAATAATTACTAAGCACAAAATGATCAAAAAAGTGGACTGAACTAAGCAACTATAAAAATGCAGATTTCCTACATAGGAAAAATGGCGAAAATTGCCATGCTCAAAAGCTCATTCCTGAAAATATTGACCATAACAAAAAATGCGATAAATAAATTTTTCGCGAACATTTAAGTACAATGTTTCACACCGGGTGAAAAGAATTATGCAATCGAACATTTACAATAAAGACACGAGACGGAATTTGTTGTTTTAACCTGACGACCTGTGTCATACTGTCTGCGCCATCTGGCACACACACACACGATTGTACCTGATTTATTCCCTTAACTTCAAAAACCCAGGTGTGCAACGCGGCGAAAGTCGTTTGTAAAGCATTTTCAGGGAGTTTTTCACACTCCTTCACTACCAATGATTTCACAGCTTGCTCACTCAACCCGTTGCTCACTGATTCCTCAAACAAGATCCAACTACATACGCTCCTGTCTTGTAGTACAACATTGTGCGAGAAATTCAAAGCTTTTGAGGGAGGCAAAAGAAGGCAATGATCACATGTATGCAGGGCGCAGAACGCACGACCCGGTCAATACGAGATATTCGATGTCTTGTATCTTATTTGGAAGTGTCCAAAAGGCATAATTTATGAGAGAGCCGAAGACATGCCGGGAATATAATCGGCCTCCGCACGAAATATATCCGTAATGGTTTTTATGATTGTACAGGATTAGAATGAGCCAATCCAAGGTCTGCCAAAGAAGAGGAAGAGTCGAGATACCTAAAAAAAATACTATTTATTCATCAGATTTCGTACGAGCATGTATTAGGTTGTAGGGAAAGTTCTCGCGGTTTTTCGAAGCACGCCTTGAGTTGAGTTGAGCAACTTTTTTGAATCGAAGCCAGAAAAGTTCTTTGCCGAAGGCATCAGAAGTCTGCCCGAAAAATGGCGAAGAGTGATAGAACGTGATGGTGATTACTTTGTTTCCTAATATGTTTTCTTGTTGATAAAAAATTAAGGTAATGATATGTGTCAAAAACCGCGATAACTTTCCCTACAACCTATTAGTTTAACACGGGAAACACGAGTTGTGCAATCCACCAGTAATTTGAACAACTGTTTCTCATACAATAATTCCAACACGATTTGTGATTAAATGTCGTCTATAAAAACTTACGTGAAAATTAAAAATTTACGCTCGAATGGAAACACGAAACAGCCGGGAGAACAAACCTCTCAAAATCGACTATTGGAAGCACGTCATCCGGACGTCGTGCTGAATCACGCCATGATCTCAACGATCTTGCACACAAAAGCCGTTGATTGTCAATACGTCGAAGTCGATTCATTCTCGTGCTTAAAAAGTATTTGTAGCGACAAAACGTGGTACATCAAAAGTGCAAAAGATTGGAAACAACGCTTGATGGAGGAAGGGAAAGAAATAGTTCGGTGCGACACCAGAGGCGTGTAAGTAAAAAACATAACTGAAAGGAGGTGAAACGCTCTCTAAAAGAATTTGGTTATAACAATTATATAAAACAATACAGATCGAGGGAAACACATTACTCACTCCTAATAACAGCAGACACAGCGATGTGCTGCATATGAGTTATCGATGACTTTTTATGTGGAAACATCATATGCTACTTTTGAGAAAGCCCTGCAAATCGACCCAAAACAAACCCAAGCTGCGAAACAAACGCATCACAAAATGGTAGCGGGAATTCGTTAGCTCAAAAAGTCACTCCTAATACAACCACTCTAATGCACCGTGAAAATGCATGACTCTGTTACACTCTGCAGTCCAAAAATGTTTTGAGCTCAAGAATGAATAGAATGCTTGGCCGCTAACCTGCTCACGACTACCAGTGACCGAAGTTGAAAAAAGAAAGCAAGAAAATTATGAAGGAAAGCAGCGAACTAACATTTACAGCATTCAGAAAATTAAAGGGATTTTGTAAAACAAGTGACATAGTAGTGTAAAAGATACACAGTCAAGTAGTAGAAACTGTCAAATCCCTCATATTTAGCAATTAAAACAAAGATTGGTAATAATTGCTGCCGAGGGGCAAAGGTAAAGGATACCGAGGCACTTCATGGATATTTAAGCTGAGATTCATGTTGCTGCATATGGAAAATTATCTTTCATATCAGCATCAGTGTTGTTAGACTACAGATTAGTTCAGGGGAGGGGAGACTATCCTGAGGCAAATTTCTAGTCCAATTTTAACCTGAGACAATCCTCCCTTCATCGATTTAACTAATTACTCAACACACTGTATAAGACAACAGTAGAAAAAAACACAAGATATCATCACAACGAAAATCATAGACAGTCAGATAGTGTAATTATTTATATTAGACAGTGGTGTTAGTTATGCCTCTAGTATGAGTTTTACCATTCGCCGATTGAAGGAGTCTGAGAAGCGGGAGAAGCAATTAGATTACTGACGTGAGCTGTGAATTTACGAAACCTACCCTGACGATGAAAAAGGTGCGGCCAGTGGTGGTTTCAGGTCTAGGAAAAGGCAATTTGAGCTGATCACCCCTGGCGATGGATGGAATGAGGCTAATTTGGTCTTTGAATGGCACTAATTTTTAGCCATGCTCACTGAAATGAAAAAATAGCACGGTTCGCGTCATTGTATTACCCATGATTTACAAAGCATTACATTTAAATAGAATAGTGAAGTGCTGACCGGTGCATTTCATTGCAGACTTCGGATGAGAACAAAATAAGCGCACCTGGAGACTTAAAGGTGCGCAGCATTTACAATTAGAAGGTACCAGATGCAGGAAGTTCAATATTTCGCCAGCGAACAACTATCAAGCTTTTCGGAGCCGCCGTAGTGCACGCCATAAGTCCGTGCATTCAAAAAGCCTAATCCCATATGTATTGCAGTGTTAGTTAAACTACATGAAAACTCAAACTATATGAAAAGTAAGAGAATGAAATTGAAACATAATAATTCTCGAAAAGCTCCCTCCAAAATGTGCAAAAAATAAGTTACAAAATGGATTTATAACGAGCGCTTAAGTAACGAAAACTCACGAGTGACGTAAAGTTGATGTGGCGGCAAAGAAGCACATCATACCAGCAAGACAAACCATGAATACTCCACCTCCAAGCGACACATCACATTCTGGCCTCATACGAGCTACTTCACATTGTGCAATTAAGGCAATGACGCAAACACATAGAGTCAGAAGCACTGAAACAAAAGTGACTTAACCGATGAAAAAAATCAAAGAATATATTTAGTTTCTGTCGAAAATGGGGTGAGTTGACGTGTAGGTGAGCCGGACATGTGAAGGACTACAAGTAATTTCCTGGTGAGCAACTCAATGATGGGCCAGAATGAAGGGATGATGTCACCATTATGAACAACGCTTCCCTGTTCGATAGCACAGACGTGGAAGAAGTAAAATAAGTTTTACCGAGTGAAAAATTCTTGCCGAGTGAGTAAATGGGACATAGGATCAATGCGAGTTGAAGTAAGCGAATTATAATGAAGTGGACTGTGCGAGTAAATAAGGATCCGTGCAAGTTTCAGAAGCTCAGGTCTCTCTTCAACAATAATTACTGTCAAAATAATTTCGCCCGCAGCAGGGTATAGTATACACGGGGTGTGGTTCACTAGGACAGAAAACGACTTTTTCGCGTTTCGCGCGAGAAATATTTTTTCGTTCCGGGAACTCCAGGACCGCTCATGATCAGCGCTGGACCCGAGGTATCTGGAGCGAAAAGGCTGGGAAAAGCGAAAAGTCGCTCTGTGTCCTAGATAACCACGCCCGCATACTCGTGTGTACCTGGCAACGTTTGTCGTGAAAATGTATAGCTTTCGCCTTTCATCATTGTTTCGACTATGGCAAAGCTATAAAACAAAAGAAGCATCTTCAAGTGAAATATCACGACCGTGAAATTTAATCGTATATGTCCATATATTTTGCTTGCAAAAAAGGCACCAACCAATATTGCGAGAGCAATGCGATGCAGTAGTTTGTGTAGACACTCAATCACAATTTTGCTTGAACCCTTAGAAGTTACGAAGATGTAGAGACTTTTTTCCCATGTCAGTACATTAATTTTTTTATATTGTGCAGGATTCTGGGCTCTATTTGTCAGAGGCAACAGTAAGCAAAGGAAATGAATATCTCCAAGAAAGTAGCACTAGGTGCGCGGGTGGGGAGAGGGAGAACCAACTTCCCATCCATTAGTACTAATTCCAGTAGACAAAGGGAGAAAAAAATGAAGAAAAAGCACACAAGTGAAAATTCTAGCTATCAAAAGGAAGGGTGTATGCGAGTGATGTCTTGTTTTGCTAACTCCTATTATGAAAGTTAGCAGGCACTACATTTTGACTTCATTAGCTGCCTGAAAGATTCGACAGACCTACTAGCTTACATGTTTTCTTTTGTCACAGCAATATCCCGTCTTACACAAGCGCTCAAAAGGGCATAGGCAAATTTCGGGCCTAGAACAAATGAACAAAAAATCTCAGCGAACGCATGGTTGACTTTGGAACTCTAAGCATTAAGGGCCGTTTCAGGAGTGTCAGACTGAAAAAAGCAAGCAAATAGGCACGTCTCAAACGAAAAATGCATTCACAACTTAAGGGACTGGAAAAAAGAATTAAGCTAATACTTCGAAAAATGTTAAAGAAAAGAATAAGTCGAGAAACACGTAGAAAATCGCGAATAGGTCGTGGCGAGTACGTATATACAAAAAAGACCGTTGACAAGCGCACTACCTTAGTTCGACTACTATGGAGGGTTCTAAATAGAATCGCAGCGGCGCAACAATAGCTACTATAGATCGATTTGTGGAGGGGGGGGGGGAAGAGGCAGAAAAGGAATAGTCATTGTTTTAGCATCCGAGACGACACTGATTAGCCAGCCATGGGAGAACACAGAGTATGACAGCAGTTGAAGAGCTGCAGAATTTCGGTGCCACAACTTTTTATTTGCATTCTACACAAGCTCTTATGAGTCGCAACTGCATAGAACGCACACTATAGAAGGGTCTGCTATGATGAGCAACAAGTGCGTATGAGTATCGCGTACCACTGCGAGGTAATATTTTGCCACAATCGCACCGCGTTTTTAGAGAAACTATACTACTGTGTCTCTAAAATTTTGTGATTGCTACAGTTTATGTTTAGTTGCATCAAAACGAATGACAATTCGAAACTTCAAATTGTTGTAAGCCATCGATTAACAGAGGAGCGAATATACTTGGGACTTCCATGACCTTTTTTGTAAAGGAAAGAACATTTTTGGGGTAGAAAGAGCTGAATTCAGTTACACTGTATTGGATAATCAGCATGAGGCTTGCCAATATCGATCGAATTTGGATTCATCAGTAACGGAAAGATAAAATCACACTTACTATTGCACATTTCGAAAATTGTATTGCGCTTCAACCATTGAAGGAAACCACTTGGCGGAGGAAGTAGATTCATTATGAATGACAATGAAGATGTCAGAGCAATAACAAAACACAAAGCGATCAAGACATAGAAAAGGTTGGCCACCATCGGTGTAACACAATCCAAGAGCACTGAAACAAAATCAAAACAGTGTAAACGAAGCTGAATAAAAAAATGAACAACGAGAAAGGAAATCCTGAAATAGAAAAACAAAGTTCAAACAAACCACGGTCATTGGAATGAAAGGCAATATGGGTCTTCCCTTTCTTGTCTAAGAAACCACCGAACCGAGCAGGATGCCAAAAGTCTCGACAACCTCAATGTACACCAAATAATCGAAAAAAATTAAAATTCTGGATGGGAAATATCTCAAATGTACAAAAACTCACCAATGTTTGTGCAATGATCCGAGCGTGAAACATCGAAGAATAGACCGTTGTTTTCACTACCTGTAGTTGAATTTAGAGCTGGTTCCTCGATCAGGATCCACTCACTTGATAGAAGGGAACATATTGCCTATAACGGCTTACAGTTGGCAAAGTCAACAATGGAAAAAAGGTCGTAAACAGTTTCGCTAGGTCCTTTCAAAAACTTTGAGGAGCAACATTGCTTAACTCACCATAGAAACAGCTAAAATATGGAAAAAGGCCCCATAGAAATTCGACTCGGAGAAATCAATCTTCGACCACCATTTCATCTTCCGAGGACTTCTCGATGAAACTTGAAAAGGGTGAATGAGGACCGAAGAAATAGACTAATTAATCGACATAATAGAGACAGTAGCGATTCGAAAATAAGTATAAATGGAGCTAAACAGGGACCGAGACCACAATTATACCGCACACACAAAGACAAGGCAACTAGCAGTAAGTCGATAGTTATTGATTTTAAGGAATGCAGACAGCTACCGTAGTGTCACCAGGCCTTCTGCTCGCGACCACAGCTGTGCAGCTGCGTCCGTTTCTGTCACCACATTGCTGGTGATTTTGATTGAATGGAGGGAATACATTTCAAAATGCAGTGCATTTGCTCAAGTTATTCTGAAATGAGCTCGTGACGTTATCAAGATGCCAGCAAGTTTTGTTCGGGCTTTGTGGCCTTTGTCAGAGTCCTTGGTCAGACAACCACTATTCTAACGATGCTGATCATTTGTAAAGGTCTGACGAAGCGATAGTGATGAAGTGTTACAGATGAATCTGTTGGTTTCTTGTCTGCTGCTCTACAGAGTCATTTGCAACTATTTCACGATATGAAACTGTCGCCTTTTTGACCAGTGCGCAACGCAATTTTAGGGGTGTTAGTATTATTTTCTTCGTTTTCAAACAAATGACTTCGCGACGCAGTTTCATGTAGTTGCATGTCGTTGGTTGTGCATGCCCTACCACGTATACAGTGTTTCGGTCACCTTTCTATCTTCCATGCGTTGCAGAGCGAATTCAAGCTTCAGATGCACGAGCGTGCAAGTAGGGTCGGACCAAAGAAAGGTTGAATTAAGACTTACCCTCCACTTCAGATAGCGAGAAAGTGTCGGGTGCAGACCATGCAGCACAAGTGACGACACCCTTCACAAAATGTCATATTTTCCGCCAATGAAATGATTAGCCTGGAAGTTGTATTCTATTGATTGCTTCTAATTACAACTATCATTGACCAGAAAAGCTATCACTATGAACAACTTCTAACCAGAATTTCTTGGAGGCCGTCGTCAGTTGTGGTGTTTGGTCTGCACCCGACACTTTCTCGCTTTTTGAAGGAGAGGTTACAAGGATGTGGCAGTCAGTAATGCAGTATCTTAAGGAAAACTTTCAATCTCCGAAGTTGATCAGAAAATTCTATCACATTGTGAAGTCCTTCGACACAAATACGGGAATCAGAAGGGGTAGCTCTCCGATGTTCTGATTCTCGCTTCTCCAATATGGCAGGGGTACAAGCGCTATAGCGGTCTCCAAAACTGTCGCCTTGGGCTCCTTCAAGGCAAGGTCAACCCTACCGTCCTGAACATTTTGAGAACTTTTTACGAGTCTCCCCCTCCTCCCCCCCGTTTTCGGGGTCATGGTACGACCCACCCCCTGTCAACGTGTGTGTATGGAAACCTTTTACATATGGCGGGGGAGAAACTCCGGAGCGCGTGAGTAGTCCCCGTTTTCCCCGGTTTCCTCCCCCAATCATATAAATTTTTAATAAAATTTGCACCAGCCTCTTTCGAGAGTCATAAGTTCCTTCTGATTCGAGGTTGTGCAACGAGGTAAGAGATTAAGAAAGTGCTCTCCAAAAATTGGTGCATTCTCCCTAAAAGCCTATTAAGTTTAAAATTAGTTTTTTTTTCGTTCAAACGTGAGTTTTACCTTTCAAACGATCACAACTTGCTTCAAACTCGTTAATTTGGAAAGCTGAAGCCAGTATGACAAACTAAGGTTCAAGCTTTCGAAAATCAAGCTCTAGACAAGTACTAAAACTCATTCGAAAAATTATCGATTCACAAATCACATTGGGTCGGATCATCGATTTTTGTTGTGTTTGAGGGACTATTTTTCTGGAACTGGGAATTTTTTGGAATTTCGGCAATTTTTGGAATTTCGATCTTTAGGTAATCACAACTTCCTCAAGCTCATTAGTTTGTAAAGCAGAAGCTAGTATGACAAACTACAAGGTGCAAGCTTTCTAGAATGTGTTAAAACTTGTTTAAAATGTCACCGAATAAAAAATTAGGCTCGCGGGGACTCTTTTGAAGGGGCACTCTGAAAAACGTGGTTTTTAGCTTTTAATGGTGATTGAATTTAATTTCCCCATTTAATGGTGCTTCCCTCAGAACCGATTCGTGTAAAACTTTGAGTGTGCTAGAAAGGAAGAGTATGTGCTTTCCAAAATTCACTCAAGCGTTTGTGGAAATCTGTTCTTCGCGAAAAAATTCTTTTGTAAAAATTTTCGTTTTTTCTTCGGGAACTCCATCCTTCATACCATTGCAATTATCTTCGTTTCACTGCATTTCGGAAGCCCTCGGAAGCCCCTTTACGACCTAGTGGACGACCTACGTAGTCGGTACTTTTACCGACATACGGTTGACCCTGCTCAGGATCAGCAGAGTGAGACCCATTCATTTTGCTGCTTTCACATAACAATTCTCTCGAGTAGCTTTCCAACTGTCGTGGGACCTACAGTAATCGCGCTATGCCGAAGCGGACATGGGACTTTGTTCTTTGGGGGCGGCCCTGAATCGCCTCATGTACTTCCTAGTCACTTGAATGTAAGCTTTGACTGTGCCGACAAACAGGATACCAACCATGCACACTCAGAGCGCACCACTCACCCAGGCATGGATACAACAATGTGGAGACTGCCAATTTGAATCAAGACAGCACTACAGAGACACAGTCACCCCCTGACCGATCATCCCAAAGGAGATCCCTGTGGTGGATTCTGAAGACTTACGTCGGGCTTGTCGAACTGAATAATAGCCAGAATATCAACTGGAAACTGCCACGCGGGACTGACTTCGTGGAGTCGCTGAATATCTCCACAGACTGCTGAATTTGTTCAGATTTGAAACAGCGAGAATACCATTAACACCGATATGGCCCGGGCGGTCCACCGACAAGAACAACCTCAAACTTGGGTAATTAAGCTTCATTCAAGCTTCAAATGTGACGAAACATCATAAACTTACTCGCAAAACAACAACGCTTCTGAGGCAACTTAGGAATAACCGGCAACATTTCATAGGTAAAAATCAACAAAGTTATGGTGATAGAGAACAGTGTAGCAATCGAAAGAGCAATAGACAATGATGTGACAATTGAATGAGGAGAGTAGACGATAGTGGTCATCGAATTAACAGATGTGACAATCGAATGAAAAGTAACTATCAGTGAATGGCAAAATAGCCATATTGCCAATGAGTACTGCGAGATGAAATGACAAAGTGACATCGCTGAAAACCCAACGAGATTGAATCAACTATGAATGAAATGGGATGAGTGAGGAAAACACAAACGATGTGTCTGGAACTGAAAAACACAAAGGAATACTGCAACTGTGAGATGCGAATGAATGGAGAAAACGCTAACAACGAGACACTGTGACTAAATAACTGAAATGTGAATGAATACTGCTACTGTGGAGATGCGAACGAATGAGAGAGTCACAAACAAATACTGCTACTGATAGACTGAGAGTGGACTGAGAAGGGCGAACAGGGGACTTCCGGAGAAATATTAGGCCCATTTCGAATACTGCTAACGTAGATAAAATTTCTGGCGGTCGACTATGCGCTCTTCGTCCTTAGATCACAAACTCAATATAGTCGTATCGTGTTATCGAGCACACTCCCTCGGGCGTTTTTGAAGCTCTAGCGTATCTCTTGTCGTGGTGAAAAACGCCAGTCCGTCAGTGAATGGTCTGAGATTGTTGTGCGTTCCTCGGGTAGGTAGCAGAGCAGCAGTGTTATGATTGTTCATATGGCAATATTCGCAGACGTCCAGCTTGGCCGAAACCGGGATGATGAGCCTCGATAGGAATTTTTTGCAAAGCATTGCGGCGACGTGTTATCAGCCTTTGTTCAATACGTGGTAACGAATAGGGCATGAGTCGATGTGAGTTGGCCACGAGCATCACAGAAGGGGCACGGCGAGTCCGAGTTGACGCATACGGGACGAATTGACGTTCCCCTACAGATGGCTAGACTGTTTCAGTTTACTCATGGCTATCCTCAACTCGACGCGGGATCGGTGATCTTTTCTTTTGGATAGGTTTCTCGCCCTCTTCTTGCCTCTTTTGCTCGGCTCTCTTTTCGTCTCTTTCTTTAGGAGCGGCGGTGTCGACAGTTCTTCTGTACGGGTTCAGCTGCTTGTAATATAATGTCAAATCGTTGGTCGATTTTTTCAGGATCTTTGCGTGTCGTCTCCAGCAGTTTATGTAAGCGCGTCGATCTTTTCGTTCGTGTCTGGACGGGTTGAGTTATCGGCTTGCAATATTGGTCCTCTGGTTCTCACTAATTTATCGAACACGACACATACTTTCCGGTTTTCTTGATTCTCTTGGTAGCGTTATTGAGTGGAGGTTCGTTTCATGAAGCAGCATTTCGAAATCGATTGAGCTTTTCTGTATTTCATTGTGTTTGGGTTCCTTTCGAACGCTTCCATCGTCGTCTTAAAGATCTCCTCCGCATAATCCATGAGTCGTTCGCTCTCTTTCATCATAATGATTCGACTGGTGACTCTGTTGTTTGGTCGTCTTGCTTCTTTTTCTTTGCCTTCCTAGTGGCTACGCGCTTTGTTTTGTGACGCATCGGCTTCTGTGAGCAAGTGTCGTAGGTCTCCCAGAGAGTCTCCAACGGCAACATTGTTAGACATCTTTAACTGGATTGACTGCCGCGTCGTAGAATAACTTGGTAAACTGTTAATGTACCTCGCGGGCATTTGGAGGGTGAGTTGCTTGCGCGATGGCCTTTTTGATTTCCCTCGAAGTAACAGCTGATACCGGACGGCTGAAGTAAGAGCAAAGTCATATCATCGTAAACACTGTCGGTCTTCTTTGGATCTCTGACTCCTCGAACATTGAGCGTGCTCGCACCTTAGATCTGTGAACAGCTTTTTGGAGGCTTCGCGTGGATTCATTATGCAATAATGGTAGGTAGTTTTCTCGTTCTGATCATTTTCGAATCAATTCCTTGATATATAAGATTGATATCATATTCTGAGTTGAATAAGGAAATTTCGCTTGTATTCTTTGTGCGTTCTGCTTTGTGTTGGGTATGTTGTAGCGAGTTGTCTATGTCTACGAGTTTGGTTGATCGTCTGCTGGCGAGTGGTGTTTTCTTGTTCGGTGAGGCTCCTCTCCTGATTCAGTTCTAGCGTATTAGTAGGTTTAACTGGCCTCCTTGGTCGTGTTTCTGTTGGCCATTCGTAGTCTCACTTGCGGACTTCTCCGTCGTTTGATGGTAGAAGTTTTGTGATTCTTGCAATTCTCCATGCATTTCTTGGAGGAATGGATCGTGAAGTAACAACCACTTGGCCTGCTTTGGTTTTTTTGGAGAGTTCTACCCGGTCTAAGTGCAGTGCGGTGTTGTTTCGCTCAAGATGTTAGTAGGCGTCGTTCCAGAGTTTCCAGAATTGCTCCGTGACTTCAAACGGACGATGGACGGTCTTACTGAGTCTGCTTTTCGGTTCGGAGTTGGAGTGCTTCGTCCGGGGGTAGGAAGTTGGGATCATCGGGATGTCTCTTATGCGTTTATCGTAGGAGTACGAGAGAGTAATATCCTTCTGGATGAAGTCGATTAGGACGTATGAAGCTTATCTCGTCCATACTTCCTCTTGTACGTGAGGGCCGTTCATTCAGGCATCCTTCTATCTTCGTTGAGATGGTTCTTAGTGAATCTTCGTCAGCATCTTTCTTCCTATAGCTTTTTTGAGTGATTTTCGACGTCCTTGATTAAGCGTTCGAAAAATCCTCCCTGCATGGGGCGTGCGCGAGTGATTTTATCCATTTGATGCCAGCGTTGGCCATACAATGTATCTACTTTTTCGTTCTGCTTGTGGGTTAACCGTCGTCGTTTCGTCAATGATTTTTTCTGCTAGCAAGAAATGTAGGTGTGCGGTCGCTAGTGATCGAGTTGTACTCCTCTCCTAGACATGAAAAACGTCGAGTTGCATTAATAAACGAAATTGTGGTATTGTCATGTATGATCCGAGTGTGGATCAACCGTGTCGTGCGCAGGTAAAAAACACCCACACATTTTCCATCTGTTCCGTCGTGTTCGGCTCTTCAAGGGTCCAAATAGGTCAAGTCCAACTTCTTGGAAGGGGTCGTGACGTACGACTCGTCTGCGAGGTAGTTCTGCAAGGGTGGGTATCTGAATGGTAAATGTGGTTTTCTGGCATTTCCACCATCTTGCAATTAACCTTTTTGGCTTTGGGTTGACGAAGTTTTGGAATCGGCAGTATTTTTGACGAACTTCCAGCATTGTATGCGCGTTGACTGTGCAGCCTTCCGTGTCGCCTCCTGTATTATCATTGGGCTAGCGATGCTTATTCGTGGCAATGAAGATTTGATTTTCGCGTCTCTTGTTAGAAGCTGTTGCCTAGCCGTCCATACATCTCCAGATTCCTTTTTCGTCTTATGGCATGTTGAGCTTCTTTGAGAGTTCGGTATTGCTTGTTTGTTGATTTAAATTTTGGTGGAGTTTGACTATCCATCCGCACGCGTTTTTGAGCGTACTCGATGTGATGGTGGCAGTCATTTGTCTTCTTCATAGATGGAGTGTTTTTCGCTACCCTTATCTTTTTTGTCGGGTGGTAGATTACGCGACACCTTTTGGAGGAACTTGAGGACTCTGGCTACCGTTCGTCTCAACTTTATCGTTGAACCAAATCGCGACACGTCGATGATTGTGTTCTCTGGTGCAGGCGTTGTGATCTGAAGGACTTCTATTGCGGAGGGGTGTATTGGAAAGAGTTTTCGTTTCGGCTTGGCCAATATCTATCTCTTATCCTCCTCCTTCCGAAATGGTGGCCTCTCACCAGAAGTGGTCTCTCAGTTTGTTCTGCGTTTCAATCCTCCTGTAGCGCAATCGCTGGATTTCATTTCGTGTTCACATATCCAAAGTACACTTTTTACTCCCTCAGCTTGTAGTTTTTCGGCAATCCGTTCTATCTCTTTGACTCTCGTTCGCCGACAAGTACTCCAACAATTTTGGATTCTCCTAATGTCTTCAGCCAGCTAAGGCTATCTCTGAGTCTGTCAAGATGTAGATGGTTTATTGAGGTGTATCTTGTTAAGCTCTTTGTAGGTGGATAGCGTGAATGTGCTGCTATCGTGTGTGCATTAATTTCCAGTTTGGGTAGTGTGTGTCTTGTTTTCAACGACGGTAGCTTCGTTTTTGCTTGCATAAGCCTAGTTTCTTCCCTCTTGATATACGTGCAGGCTGCCATAACTCTTATATTGGCATCGCTGAATGCGATGATCTAGTGTCCTCTCTTTTTTTCAGTTCAGTTGTCTGGGAATTCCTTTGTAGAATCCTTGCATTGATGTTAGTAACGTTGCCAAGTTGCTTGGTCTTGTTCAGAAGAATGTCGTCCCACCTATAACGGCTTGGGCCACAGTGACTGAAAAAGTGCTTACCTTCCGATCATCAGTGGGGCAATCCATCCTAGAGGATCGTACACTGATGCGATAGTGTGTAGCACACGTCCTTTTTGTAATTGCTTCTGAAGGTTGCACAATTGCTTTGGCGATCAGTGTGTCATTCGCAAGTGTTCCAGTTGATTCCAAGAACTTTGGTCGATGTTGATGTACTGATGTCTTTATCGTGAAAACCGTGCCCTTACGTCGGCGTCGTTGGATACGAACTCTCGCGCTGTTCATGTTGAGCTCGATAAAGATATTCTTAGCTTCTCTGTATGCTGGTTATGCTTCCTTCTTGTTTCAGCAGTTAGGAGTAAGGTTGTCGACGTGTAGGATATCTTTTATCTCTTTGAGTGGCTTTGAATCGTGTGTGGATGTCTCCAAGTGAAAGCCGATCGTCGCAGCGCGAGTAGGAATGGTGATGAGCTCAAGCCGAATGTAACTCGTGTAAATCGGTACGTGATAGATGTTATTCTCTTCGACCGGTTTTGACAAGTCTTTTATCCACAAGAAGCGTGTTGCGTCACGCGTCTCCTTGTAGTCGCACTTGTAAGAATGCTTTTCTTATATCGGCTGCCATTGCAAGTTTCCCAACGCGGAACGTATGAGCATACCCGTCAAATTCGGCAATATCAACGGACCTTGGTGAAGGACCTCGTGAGAGTGATGTGTGTCCAGCAGAATAGTGAGCTGATGGCATCAAAAAAGCATCCTCCTCGAAGTAGTCTTCTTTTTTCGCGTGTGACAACAACTTGATACGCTAAATAGGAACGAATGACATGCGCGAGCGCGTGTTTTCTCAAATTCCCGTGTGAACTCTCTTCAAAGGTGTGCGCCTAAAATTACGGAGACAACGCATGAGCCAACATTTGAACTGATATTCACAGATGCGTTTTGCGGTCTATTTCCCTCTGCCCAGCGTTACGCTGTCGGTGCTGCTAGCACATTGTTTCTGCCCTTACCTGACCTCAACCACTCAAAGCATCGTAAATGGCTAGCTGCCAAGCGGCCTTGAACCTGACTTACTGAGCAGAACCGTCACCCTGGCGTTTGCTACTTGGACTTTCACAGTCTCCCGAGGCCAGTCGTTGGCCAGCCACCGGACAACGTTCATCACATGTTTTTGGCCTCGTAGACTCGACACCGCAACACTCAATACGAATGGCATCCACCAGCTGGTAGAGCCGGACACAGGAGCTGAATGCCCGCTCAATTCTGCGATGAGAAGGCAGCTGTCGCTCGTCGAAGCGACACCGCGACCAAAGTCTCAAGGATCTGTGTGCGAGTAGACAATTCAGCGTAGCTGGACGATGCATTGTTCTCACTGGATGTCACCGCCACAGACGACCTAACGAATCCACGGGCCGCGAATATCTTTTTCGAACCTTAGTCGGAGCCCAACTTCGCCTATCCTGAACAGGTATTGTCCATCTTTGAAATCGATCTGCTGGCGCATTCCCATCAGTAGGAAGCTGCGCAGTCTACGAGGCCGCCCAAGCAGGTGGTTTTCGGAGTCACTGAGGCCTGCGCAGACCTTGATGCAGACCACGATTTTTTACTGCGGCCTTTGCTTCGCATTACCAACGGTGCGTCCACTCGCCGACGCAGCACTTTCTTTATCACGATACTAGACGCTCGCATTGCTGGTACAGCCACTAAGTCGGACTTACGTGTCTCCAGAAACTCGACGGCCTTCGCACTTAACACACCCTTCATGGCGATCCATCAGAGATTTCGTTAGCGACAAGACACCGCCTCCTAATGCTTGAACGGAGCGTCCAAAACTCGCCACAAATTGACGTGCCACGGGTCTCTTAAGGTTTCCTTCGATGTTTCTGAAGAACACGTACTTAAAAGTAAAAGGACAAACCACAA